AATTGGAAAGTTTTCTATTTTTAAGCGCGGTCCATTTATCTGAGCACTATTTCTAGGCCCCATATTAAATTTCAGAATTACGTCTGCAGATTTACATCTGAGTTGTGACGCCTTCAAGCAATATCCCGACGGAAGCCCCTTTAATTGGGCAACAGCCCAATACACGTGTATTAAATTCTTTCGCGTCTCATTCCTTTCAAGGCAGAGACGATAGGATCAACAGTTGGAGTATTTAATTTATATTGCCCCACAGACGGGCTACTGCTAGTCTCGAGACTTGACAACTCAATGAGATCAGTCTCTTCCTTAAAGGTAATAATATGCAATTCGATTACTTAAGTTTGCACTCAAACTCCATTACTCTTACTTTAACATAATTGAATCGATTATGTTTTACTTATTCACAAATATTTTCTTTTAATGTAACGTCAGATTTTCAATTGAAATGGCAAAAATTAAATGATCAATCTTAATCACGACTCTTATTCTTCTTTCAACCAATATAATTTTGCATATTTCCCATTCCTAAGACTTGTTATTAGGCACCCAAATATTCGCATTCGCATGTATAGACATAAAAATGCTTATGCAAACTTTATAATGCAATCACTTTAATCACATATCCATATAGATTGAAATTTTATAATGTTCATGTCATTTTATAAGCTTCCGGGACTCCTCTTTTAGCTTTTACATGAAATATTCACAAAACAAAAATAAAAAAATAAAGAGAAAAGGGAAAATTTAAAGCACATTTTTAGCACGGTATTATTTGGCACCTAATTAACTGTTATTATAATGGGGCAATAAATTATAGCCAATAATTTTTTTTTACAAATCCGATAGTAAATGCTTTGATTTGAAAGTTATCTATGATCTGCTTTTATGAATATTTTTGTTTCTCTTTATGCTTATTAATTTTTTTTTGAATTTGAGGATTATTTTCGATTATGAAATTTCACATTTAGGTTTTCTATTTTTTCTTTAAATCTTTACGTATCCACTTGCATTTTAAACCACCTTAGTTGAAACGTCTTTTTGCTGCAACAGTGAAAAACTCTTTTTAATTTTTTCCTCTTTTTATTTTGTTTTGGTTATCTTGGCTCTCATAATATCGTAAATGAATGTTGCATTGGCAATTTATTGTACAAGAAGTACATCTTCTTTAACAGCTTCTTCTTATTTTTTAAGTGAATTTACGTAATCTTAAAAAAAAATTCCATTTGCTATTTAGTAATGTGCATCTTCTTTAAATTTTATCAGAAAAAAAAAAGCGAATTCCTTTAAGAGCAATCATGAAAAAGCTTAGCTGCTTTCTGAGAGTTTGGGTTTTAAAACATTTTATAATTAAGGTCACAAGACCTCTAAAAATTAGTTAAGTTGGAAGTTGTCGGAACAAAGCGTCACAAATGTAATAAAAAGCTTTTTATTTCTTTTCAGCCTTTAAAATCTATTTTTATTTGGACCATAAATAATTCGAATTAGCGAATTTTTAATTCATCTGCAAATTTCGTTAGATCTAATATATTTGCTCTTTTGGAATTCAACTGAAAAACTAAGACTGTATAGTACCGTCCATTTAAGCAGATTATTTCGGCGAAACGAAACTAATTTCAATTTAATTTTTTTTTATGTTTAATTGGACAGAATTTGTATCATTCAATTCGATAGTAGTCAACTTAAGATTGAAAAACAACTCTCAAAAATTTTAGCCAAATTATTTTTTGGAAAAACGTCACTTAATTTTGGAAACTTAGTCAAGAATTTTTTACAACTTTTTAATTTCGTTTACGTAAAATTATTTAGATAATTTGTTTAAATCCCCGATATCAATTTTGAATACGTTGCTCAGTCCTATCATGCTTACCCGGCCGCAATTTTCAATCTTTCTTCGCTTAGAGCTAGGGTCACTCGCAGAGATACTGAAAAAGATTCTCCTTTTTCTCCATTTTCCAACAAATGCGACTCATTGAATTTAATATCTCATGCAGGCCGGCTTTGCCCTTCCCAGACTAAGATATTCCCTGAAACACTTTGGTTTTCTAAAATCTTATTAAGGTCAAACCTATCTTCTTGTTCTGTATGTAGACAGGTTTTTCCACAACCGTATCTATGAGAATCTAAATCCGTTCCAACTCAATATTTTTACATGTTCCAAGGTTTTTAAGAAATTGAAATATTTTTAAAATTGACAAATTATGATTTTTCGGATTTTGAAAATGGGATTGCCCCAAATTTTTCAACATTAATTCAAAAATATTTTATTTGGAAATGCAACAAACAAACAAAAAAGTTGCATTGTTAACAATCACTAATTTATTTTCTTTTTGACTCTTCTTCTTTTTCATTTTTCCAGTTCCATTATGCATTCAGTCATGTATGCATTTAAAAGAAAATAAAAATGATGCATATTTTTTCTACTGCAACTATTTTTTGTCCCCAAAACATACCTTATTTGTGATGGAGCTATAAGATGAATGTGGTGGTTAATGGTATTGGTAAAAATAATTATTTGGAAAATGAAAATTCTATAAAACAATTTTCGATTTTTTTTTTAATGTGAATTAAATGAGTTCGAAGAATGTTGTTTTTGCGGAAAAAGAAAATAAAAAATCTTTTAAGTTTTAAGTTTTTGCAAACTCAATTCTTAAAATAAATTTTTTTTTTCTTAAACATTTTAATTTAAAATTAAAACACTTGGCCTAAATTTACAAAGTTTTAAAAAGACGATTTTTGCACACCCATCTTTCATCATGCACATGCACATTCTCGTACGTGTGTTTGTATAAAAAATAAATTGCATTCATACAACAACATGGGAATTTAAAATAAAAAAAAACCTAATTTGTACACATTCACACAAAGCTCGTTATTATGAATGTTTGTTTGTTTTTTTAATTTAATTATACAATTACTTTTGCGTTACACAGCCATAAATAAAATGCAAGTAAAAAAAAAAATAAAACGCGATTTTACACCTTAATTTGCTATGAATTGAATGAATAAATAAAAATATATTCGGTTAGTATGGTAAAGAGCTTATAGCCAGACCTTAAATTGAATGCGTTCTATTACCAAGAGTATAAGATGAGAAGAATGTCGCCTTACTTTACCACCGGAGGGCATTTTTGCAAAATTAAATTCTTTTAATATTTTTTTATTAATTACAAATCACCTGTTTTGATTCAAGAAGCAACAAAGAAAAGGAAAAAATCACTTTGTGGGTTTTGATTTTATTTTAGATAAAGTCAGGGGCCCCGTCATTTTAAAAATTTTCGCTTCTTTAATTAAAGTTTCCTTTTCATCATATTTTTATTTATTTTTTTTACGTTTTTTGCTTTTAATTTTAATTCTTGAATATTAATTGTAGATTAAGGAAAATTTTTTTTTTTTTTATTATCCGATCGTCTAACTTGTCAATTAATTGAAAAACAGTCTGCTATAATGATTTTATCCATCAAAATAATTAATCGATACATTTTTTTTAAGAGAGATAATCTCAAACATCCGTGATGATAAAGATTTGCAGAATAAATAAAAAATTTATTTTATAATTATTTTTATTCATTATAATGTAATATGCAATTAAAATCGATTTATTGTGCTTGGTATTAGTGTTAAAAGATTTAGAAATCGAAACTGTTATTCTGTTATATTCAAGTATTGTTATTCGTTATACAGGGTATTTCATATAAGTAGGCACTGGTATATAGTTTAATTTTGAAAATTTTATTCATGAAATTCACCAATTATTCTTATAATACAGAATAAAACATGTTTGATTATGGATACGAAGTAGTGTTTCCCAATCGACAGATATGAGAACAGATTGGTCCAATTTTTAAAAATGGTTTTGATATTTGGTACACAGATATTCCAAAACGGACTTGGGGGTAGATTCGGGTGTATACGAATTGCGGCCGGGCACATATATAAATACGTCCCTGGATTTGTACTACTCGATATTTCAAAATGAAATAGAGATATGCCTGCGAGTGAACTTAAAAAGGATATATAAAAATCGCACCATCAGTGTCCTCTCAGGCAGCAGAGCAATGCTATTTACACTCCAATCGACTCAAGTCACCTCCAATCTGGTTTAGGGCTCCTACCGCCAAGCTGGTTTGGGTCAGTAGGAGCCCTTAGAATAAGTGTTCCTACTGACGAAGCTGGGCATCAACAAGCAGAATGACGCTCATTTGGGTGCCGAAGCACAGTGGTGACAAATTAGCGCGTAGGGGGTCTGAAGTCACTTTCATTAGGCCGGCCCCTCTCAATGTTTACTTGTCAATGTTATGAATTGTCAATGTTTACCATTAAACGAACCGCACAAATATTACAAATTTTAAATTTTTAATATTTGTGTAGTTCACAAAATACGGTATTCACCCCGTTAATTAAGTTCAACTGTACAGAAAATTTTTATCTTTTATTGTAAAGTATTCAATGAAATCAAAGTTTTAAGTAATAAAAAACAGGATGTGAAAAAAACTGATAAGACAATCACTTTTTATTTCAACTATTTAAAGGATTTGTTCATTGTCGTATATAGATCGTAAAATCTTACGTAATTTAAATAAAAAATTATAAAATTCCTATTAGATATTGTTATTTTTGATTATCATTAAGAGTAAATGCTGTTTTTAGAATCCTCTTAGTAATTTTAACGCATTTAATTAGTTTAAAGTGACCAGTGTGCAATTGTTACAATTCAAACAAAAAGTCTATATTCCAATGTCTTAGGAATAGTTTTATAATTTTATGACGTTTCTTAAACTTCTTTCTAAAATTCATTTTAGATAAATTTTCAATAATCGAATGACTTTAATTTCTATACTAATTTTTGCTTTATGCTTGAAATGAATTACAATAAAATTGGAATGTTAATCAAATAATAAATGATAAACAATTATAATCAAATATTGCTCTATAAAACAAAATTTTAAATACTTTAAAATATTAAAATAAAAATATAAGAAATTTAATTGCAAAATACAAACCTGTTATTAAAAGATATCCAAATGCAATTAAGAAGAATAATTGAAATTTATTCAACATTTTGTTAATCAAATTTAATTAATATTTACAATGAATTTAAAATATTTGTAGTTCTAAAATTATTAAATATCACAATATTAAATTTAAATTTTAATTAAAAAAAAATTAATTTCAAAATTTCACTAAAATTTTCTTGCAAAACTCGAAAATATAAAATTTATTTTGAAGTTTATAAAATTAAATTGTCAATAATTGTTGTCAAAAACTGTTCACTTCACCGAATATAAAGATGTCACTTTAATTATAGTAAACAAATACGCTCGATTAATCGAAAAAATAATTCGATTATATTTTATTAATATTCTTTTTATATTGAAATTTAATTTAATTTTTCTTGATTAACAAATAAATTGTAATTTTTTTGTAATGATTTGAGATCTTGAGTAAGTGACGACTTTTTTATTTTTATATAGTGAAGTAAAAATAAATTTTAATAAATGCAATTCTTATTATTGTAATTAGTAACTTGTATATGGAAACTATTAATAATAATTGATTTTATTAATTCTGTTTTTTATTCTTTTCTACTTATTCAATTGAGCAAATCAAGCATGTACTCCTTATTTGTAAAGTAGACAGACGATTTTTTTTTGATTTTTTTTTATATCGAACTTTTATATCGAATTTTTATTGTTATTATTGCAATTCAATTGTATATTATGTATTCATTTAGGTAATTAATTATTCTTTAATAATTCAGCGAACAATTTTATTATAGTAAATAAAATTTATTTAAATATATAAATATATAGCTGTCAAATTTATATTGTTATAATATATTTTCTAACAGTTTATTGTTGTAATTTTAATATATATATATATATAGCAAATACATGTACATATATATATATTTATATATAAAATATTTCAAGGTCTTATATTTAATTTTTTAATTTTCTTCTTCTATAATTTTTAAATTTTTTTATTATTTTTGATATTTTCATAATATATTTTTAATTTTTGTTTCAAATTTTCAAATAAATTTATTTAAATTTTATTTAATATTATATATTATAACGAAAATATATATTTTATAATAATAACCACCTACAAATTAAAATTATTTTTAATGTTATTTTATTTCTTAATTAATTAAATTATTATTTTTATTAAAGTTCATTAATTTATTTGTTTTATTATCTGAAAAATAATATTATCTGAAATGAAGTAATAATGATGACAACAATTAATTAATTAAAATAATAATAAATAAATTTTTAAATTAATTAATTAATAAGTTATTTGATAATTTAATTAACATAATAATTAATATGCACGAGAATAACGTAGAATTAAATGAAATTTTTTGATATATACAGTGAGAAATATAACAGTTATTTTCTTTGAGAGAACAATGAAGAGAACAAAAAAATTAAATTAAAAATGAAATGTCACAAAAATGTCATAAAAATGTCAAAAAATTTTTTTTTTATTTCGAAAAAATTGTTATATTTTTTTTTTTGTAATTTGATTTCGTTATTTTGACAATAAATAGAGTTGACAATAATCAATTATAAAATTTGAAAAGCTTATTTATTATTGGTCAATATTATTTATATATATATATATAAATTTAATGTCAAAACGGAATGTAAATTTAGAAAAAAAATAAAATAAAATATGTAGAAAAAATATGGAAAAAATTCAAAAATTTTAATTGTAATTTTTATGCTTGCTTATCCAATTAATTTATTATAATATTTTATTATTATTTTGACATTTCATTATAATTTTACTACTTTTTTGTTATATTGTTATACTGTATAACAAATAAGAAAAAATAAAAATTCCAAAAAAAAACGAGTTTTTGTTTTCCTTTTAATTTTGATTTTACTAATGAAAATTTTCAAGTCATACTAACAAATATTTCAACAGATTTCAAATATTTTGATATAAAATTTTAAAAAATCAAGATTTATTTGTCATATTTTTTTTCTCTTTCTTTTATTATTGTTTTTTGTTTTTGTTTATCTTGTGTTATTTTGTAATATTTTTAATAATATTTTTTTATTTATAGTTTAGTTTCCTTTTGTTTATTCATAATTTTGGTTTTTTTTATGAATATAATTTTGTGCTTTTGTTAAAAAAAAAATATTTGTTACAAAATTGCATTATTTTGCACTATATACGTTTGTATATGCACACAAACACACAAAATATGTATGTATTAATTTATAAAATAAAAAAGAAAAAATTATTTTGCTTTTTTTTCTTCTTTTGCTTGAATTTTATTATTCCAATTTTCGATATCTATTTTTCTTTATTTTTATATTTATTTTTAATAAATATAATATATTTAATTACACACCAGACCTAGAGATGATGATTTTTTATATTATTTTTATTTTATTATATTTATTGTTTTATTTTGTATATATTTTTTAGCAAAATCACTCTAAATTGCAGCCCCTAAAATAAAAATAAAATATAAATAAAACCACGAACACACGATCTTGATTTATCTTTGAAATTTTGCGGTTTAATATTATTTCAATATATACATATTTGCGCCTGTGTGTAAATATAAGAGTTATGCTTTTGTTTTTTTGTTTTGTTCATTTTTGTTAATTCATTAAATCTTAAGGCTGTTTTTTTTATGAGTAAAAATAAACTACAATAACAATTAAAATTATAAGTTATTATCAGCATGTATATAGAGAGTATAACAATATATATATAGAGAATAACGATATATATGCATAGTATAACAATATATGTATAGAGTATAACAATATATATGCATAGTATAACAATATATATGTAGAGTATAACAATATATATGCATAGTATAAAGTATAACAATATACATATACATAGAGTATAAGAATAAATATACATATATATATATATATATATATATATACATATGTATATTTAATATATATATATATATGTATAAAGTATAACAATATAAAATTCACGAAATAGAATTGCGATTAAAAATTTTTTTTTTATTATTGTTTTTTATATAAAAATATAAAGAAGATAAAGTATTTTAAAGGTACTCGTAATACTGTAGAACATGAAAACATAAAGGGAGACGATGCTCAATAAAATTTACTGTGTAGGAAAAGCATGAAAAAATAGAAACAAAAAAAAATAACAAAAATAACAAAAATATTGCATAAAAACTCTACCTTTATAGCAGTTTGTGTCATGTAAAATTAAAAGAAAGACGAAGACGGCAGTATACAAACTTTTAAATTTTGTACATGCAAGAAGCGCGATTATAGAAAATTAAAAGAAAAAAAAATTTATCTATACTTTTTTTGTTTTTGTTTTCTAGTTACTTACTATTTTACTAACTAGTTTTTATACTGAAAATAAAAATTTATTTTTATATTATTGTTTTATAAAAAAAAAAACGTGTTACACGTTCATTCAAATTTATTTACAATTTTTGTACAATCTTCTCTGAGCCATAATATAAAATTCATATATTGGATCTCCACAACTAAAGTGAGCTAAGTCAAAAATTTCGATTTTTCGGGTCTTAAAACATTTAAAAAACTGTTCTAAAGTAAATTGAAAAATAGTTCATTTCAGAGGGCATATTATCTTTTATCGTACATCAATACCCTTGATCTTTTGCTGGAAATAATTTTTTAATTTAATTTTTTCAAAATTGATTTGACTTAATACAATATTACAGTAAAGGTTCATTATTGTGATTTTCATCAGATTAAATTTAATTATTCGGAATTTTCTCAAACATGATTTTTTTTGAGTTAACGCACTTTCGTATTCACATAGATATAATATGCACTCCTACTATTTTATTGCAATATTTTCTGTATATATTTTTTTCCTTTCTCCTATTTTCTATTATATTTTTCTATTTTTTTTATTTTAAAAGAAATAAAATAGAAGAAAATGTTAGTTGCTTAATGGCTTATTTTATGTCGGTTCTATATGAAAGCAATAAATTTTGAAAAAAAGAAAAAAATATTTAAATTAACATAAAAAAATATGTTTTTTGTTAGAAACTTATATAAATTGTTTTTGTTTTTTTGTTTTTTTTTTTTGCTAATATAACATTTTTGCTATTGATTTTGAAAACTAAAATAAATTTTTGCGAAAAGAGAGGAAAAGTCGAGAAGAATTTACTCCTACATTGCATATGAGTTCATTAATTTAACTTTAACCTCTAAATTTTATTCACATAGATGTCTGCTTATTAACCCTTTTGGGACAGCCGTGTATTTATTGATGTTGAAAAATATATGTCATCAATTAAATTGTGATGGTGTAACGTGAAACATATTTTTCCAAAATCTTATTTCTGAAGTTGTTATAGATAATTCCATTAGAAGAACATTCTTAGTATATGAACTAAGTACTTTTTCTTAAGCGATTTTGGCATTTATATATATAGTTGGTAATATCCACAAGAACAAGTTCTTATAAAAACTGACTGAGATATATTCTGTTGAAATACCTTTGAGGGTACAAAAAGCACTTAATAGTAATAATAATTAAATTTAGAATTATGCTATATATTATATAGTTTCATTTCGAATCCGAAAGGGTTAAAATATATTGAAGAGTTGAAGTTTTTTCTTTAATTTATTATATTAAATTGTTTCTAGAATTATTCTACAAAAGTAGAATCTTATGAGTATTGAATAATTAAAAAGATAAGCGCGTAAAAATTATTAAATATATTCAAAATTATTTGCTAAATAAGATTTTTGACTAGAAAAAGTTACAAATCAAATTGAAGACATTAATCAAACAAAAGACTTAAGTTAGAAACTTGCATTTTTTTTTTAATTTATTTAAAAAATTATGTCAAGATTTTTTTAAATTTATGATTTATTTTTGTTTATTTATTTTAAAATCTTTTAAATTTTTTAATTACACAGCTACCCCTATAAGAATTATGGTGTCAAGTTATGAATATTCAAGCATTATTATTATTAATTGTAATTTAGTAACTGATTTGATATCTAAATCTCACATGTGTTTTATTATTAAATTAATCCTATTATTTGAGCTAATATTAGGTAATTCTCGTAAGCTATTAAAAAAAGCTCATTAAAATTTTAAAATATAAGCAAAGAATCATTAATCGTAGCCTTATATGGTTAATCGTAGGCAACTTAAAATATTTAAAATTTGTATGGAATTTGAAAATTTTCAAAATTTATTCAAAACTTGTAAGATTTGACGCTTAATAATATTTTTTATAGCATAATTTTTAT